GCTGGTTCAGACAGAGCCCATATGTTAGTTTGGCCCTATGAGAATGAGCCTTTAGACAGGGTCTTCCAACTTTCAAAATCCCTCCTCTGCATGATTGTGCACCATGATTCCTTTCCTCCTTCCAGGATTGCAGCAAACCATAGTCTGCGCAAAATATTATTTCTGCTTGTCCTGCAAACTAGGATTAGAAGCCATGGCTTGATCTTAGTTTTCAGTCCTGGTTTATAGGACTAGAACAAGCTATAGTTTGCTGCTTTGGACAATGGGGAGGAATTATGGTAGGAAGGTGAGCAAAAGGGGGATTGTTTTCAAATATATTCTCAGTAGTATCGCTCATGGGAAGACAGTCATAACAAAGGGAACACATGAGGCCTCCAGCAGAAACATTTTGGAGACTAGTTTAGGTGAGAGATGTCCACAGAGGCTGTGACAGAGTAATCATCAACTTCCTGGCCACAATTAGGAAAATATACATTAGGAATGGCAATTGTTCACTTTCAGATGTTGCCATACTCCAATTCCCACCAGCTAAAGCTGGCATGGCCGATGTTAAGGAGTGATTCAGTTTCTCTGCCCTACTCTCTCTCTGTTTTCCCCACGTGTGTACCTCCTTTCCCTTCTCTGATGCACATGTGTTCCCACTGTATCTCTCATGCACTCTATTTGTCTCTTATGTACAGACTGCCCTCTCACTGACCTCCATGCACCTTCTCTCTGTCCATGTACTTTAACTCTGTTGCATTCATTTTTTCCAATAACATTTATTTTCTCTGTATATCTTGCATGTGCCTGCATGTACTCTCTATTCCACTCATAGGCACTCTTTCTTTTTCTGTGTCCTATACACCTGTATGCTTTCTCTCTGCTCTCTGAACGATGTATGTGATGCTTTTGCTGCCTACATCCCATGCCCACATTCTTCTCTGTATCCCATGTTCAGGTTCTTTGTACTCCCTCTCTGCCCTTTCTTGCAGCCTTTCCCCCTTCTCTGCTGCTGTTTCTTCCTTTTCAGCTGCCTCCCCTGAACACCTCAGGTTTAAAAAGCTTCTACTGATCCCAGTAGTTTGTTTTCTTTTTTTAAAGCCCAATGACTGCAGAGTCCACTCCATCAATTCACATGTGTTACCTGATGAGGAGAATCAGGATCCTCCCATCATTCTCCACATGGCAATTAGGATTTAAAAACCTCCACTGGCACCAAGGGAGAGAGTAAGAGAGGAAAACAGACATAGGATGCACCAGCCTTGCTCAGTTTTGGCTCCAGACTCACCCACCATGTGACCCCTGGATGGGCAAACATGACCTCCTGACAGAAAATGGTTCTCTGTCCCTTTCTAGGTTTATATACTTGCTCTGGCACACATTACTTTACACAATCATAGCCCTGATAAAATTTAACATACAACTTCACAACTACTGCAGGACTTCAAGAAAGTAAGAAAATGATACTTCAGTTTACACCAAAGTTATAACTCAGAACTCTAGCACTGTTGATCCAAAGCGTATCTGCTTGCCCATGCTGAAATTTGACAGAGCAACAATAAAATGTATGGGGAGAAGACAAGTGTTCTTCTTCAGTATGTATAGTTTAATAAGCTCTGTGTACAGGGCTGGCCTTCCTATAAGGTGGAGGTGCAGCGGGACCAGGGAATTGTGCCACTCCCCGTTCCTGCCAGAACCACCCCCCCCAACCCCAACGGGTATGCCAGACAGCTCTGCTGACTGCTTTTCCATCTACTTGGTGGGATGCAGCATGGCTGCCCACATACCATTAATAGCAGAAGTTTAAAGGAGAAAAATAAAAGTTCCATGGTTAAATTACAGCACATCTGTGTGCAAACATTATCTGCTCATATAATGATTATGAAGAAAGGTTTAACAATTTTCTGCTCAATAGTACATTGATTTTATTTAGTTTAAACATCCAACAAGTCCATTCACTTGAAAAAGAGAAAAATCATATTCAAAATAAGACTTCATTGCAGATTAAACTTAAATCCCATCATGCTAGTATTTCAGGCAAACTAAAATTTGGTACAGCAGCAAGAAAATACATGATTTTCCCTTCCATTATTATCAAGACAGCTAGTGTGGATTAGTGGATAGAGTGCTGGAATGAACTTGGGAGATCTGAGTGCTAGTCTTCACTCAGCCATGAATCTCCTGGGTTAACCTGGGGCTAGTCTCTAACTCTCAGGGTAACCTACCTCACAGGGTTGTTGTGAGGATATAATGGAGAGGAGGAGGGCCACTTTCGGTTCCTTGCAAGAGGAAAAAAAGGCAGGATATAAATGAAATGTAATACACAGGAATAGTGATAAGGCAAATGCAGAGCATGAGTAAAGCCTGCTATTTAACTCAGGTTGCTTAAGAGTAAAAAATGGAAAAAAGTGAAGATTCTCACAGTAGCTGCAAATAATTTATCCAATAGCCTCCCTTCCTTACTAACCTCACAGATGTGCTACAATTCAAGAATTCAAGGAAAATAGATACAAACTGCATTCAGTTTGTATCTATTGCAGTTTGCATTCAGTTTTCTTTACTAAGCAGTAATAAATGTAGGCTCCCCTTAGCAAGCAAAGTATTCAGGACAACACCAGGAGGTCATTTGTGTCCTAAGCGTACAAAGAAGCTGAAATTGTTATTCCTAACATGTCAGCTCAAGGCCTTATGCCTCCGGCATCACCTACATGTTTTGTCTTCCAATAAATATTTAATGCTATTTTCTTTTGATTTTTAAATAGTATTGGGGAAAAAAAATCTTGTGAGCACAGACTGTAGCCTATTAAATTACCAAACAGACATGTCAAGTTACAGTACATTATGACATGAAACAAGTTATTAGTTATACATTTATCCTTATAAAAATAGCCTTTATGATGCTAGGTATTATGACTTTCCAAGTAAAGGAACAAGTCCTCTGCTTGGTTCACACGTAATGGCTAAATCAGAGGTGCAGAGCCTCAGCTCCAGGGACCCATCTCCAAGATAGCCATACTCACCTCTCCCTAGTCACTGCTCACTTGGTCTCTTGGCTTTTGTGCAACCTTTCCCCCATTGTAAATGGTGGAATCCCTCTCCTAAAGCTTGTTTCAGTCAGTAAGGGGTTCAAGCTACAATATATTGGGCTGTCAATATTTTGGCCCTATTCCTCTTGTCTTTGTTCTACCCACTACAACAATGCAGTCTTTGAGAGCTTTTCTGAAATGTGAAAAGCTTTTAGAAAAGCTTCTAAGCCCTTGGGATGAAAGAGGTTCTGCATTCCTGAGCTAAACTTGATTTGAATATCTGGACTGTACCTCTTCTTTTTCCAGTACAAGCCAGTTCCCTCTATGGCTTCCTGGTTTGGTCTAGCCATAGCTTTCTGTAACATGTAAATTGGAGAAATTGTGGTCCTTGCCAAGGACAGTCTGTCTCCTACCCAGAAATGAAAACCCACTTCAAACTGTAGGGGAAGAGAACACAGATCAGTGACAGAACACGTGTACTGCATGCAAAAGTTCATTTAAAAAGTCCATTAAAATGGAACAGTTAGCAAGTGACCCATTCCAGAAATTATGCAAGCTATAGTTTGCCCGAACCACGAATGGAGGGAATCTAAGCAAGGTGAAATGGCATGCACAATCCCACCATTGTCCATTTGGATGTGATTTGACCCATGGTGTCAAAAAAGCAGGAATGCTGAACTCATGGAAACTCAGTTGAACCAGAGCACTTAGATACCGACACGCCCAACATGTCATTCTAAATACATGGAGTTGGAAACAAATTAGTTGCACTTAAAATACTGTGATTTCAGAGCAGCAGATCCACACATCAGAGACAGTTACAACAAGGTAGACAAGCTCCATGAGTGTCAATTCAGGGTGGCCAACTTTGCATATTCTTGGAATTATTTTTGCCCCATTGGACCAGCTATAGGCCATATTCCTGCTGTGACAAAAAACAGGCAATGTGCTGCTGACTTGGCAGCAGATGACATGGCCTAATTTGTCTGAACTGTAGCTAAAATGGGGCATTTTAGCTTTCTGCAGTGGCTTGAAGTATAAATCAATCAATCACACATTTCTACATTCCATCCCCCTCATTTCTGCAATTTTCAGTGGCACTGCTCATACCAGGAGGGTGGGAAGGGGCTGTATTATGTGGCCCACTGATGTTGCAGTTCTACTGTGATTGGTGTTTCAGCCATTTCTGACTCTCCAAATGAGGCATTGCTAAGGCGGAACAAACTGAGGCTTTGCATGGCTGGACTCAAGGCCCATACATTCCCCCCAGAGTGTGACAGGGAAGTGCCAGCTCAAAGCTGAAGCAATGGCAATGAAAGAAAAGGCAAGCCCACATTCCCCATCTCTGGCAGGGCTTTGAAGTGACAGATAACCTGGTTATGGCAGCACTTATGCAAGTGGCGTAGTTTAGCCATTTCCTCCATATTTTAGCTCCTTCCACAAATCCCTGAACTGATTTCTCAATTCCTACTTGGACTTTTCCCTGAGAAAGAAACTGTCTACATTCTTCACCGGTGTGCAAGAGCATGCATGTGAACAATCTGTGAAACAAAGTCTCCCAAAAACTAATATAATTTATTTCCAGACTTATTTCTGTTTTTCAAGTTTTGGAGATGTGATTATAAACATAAGATTCATACTTTTATGTAAGAGAAGCCACAGTGTACTATGCTCATGCTCCATAAAGAGAGAAAAATTTCTAATGATCCCATATTATTAACGCTACATAATTTAGCTCTTTCAATAACCTAATCAGGTCCAAAGATGGGTCAAATATGCTGTGTGGGTTCTACTTTCTGGGGAAACTGTTTTAATTTTCTAAAAAACTAAAAAGTGTTTTAGCAGTTGAATCTATTTAGCTGGGACAATACCTTCCAGTGCTCAACATAGATGGTCCTGGATAAAGTCCACTTAAACATCCTGTTTTAGATGCTTAATTTCTTTAATCACACTTCCTTAGACAAATGTAGTCTGAATTCAAAAGTTCCTTACCATCCTTCATCATCCTCCACTTCAGGTTCAGATACTTCTTTCTCAGGAGTTTCTGCTATTGCCTGGTTTAGCTTTGATTTGAATTTGTCTAGTAATGCCAATGTCTGGAATTAAAAAAAAAGATTGTTGAAAACTTGCCCAGTTCAACATGCCTGATTGCACAACTCCTCAAAGGCTTACTTTGCATGACGCACTGGGCTTACTGTGTGTTATTTCACTTACGAAGAAACATGGTATGCATGATGCACCATTTTGAATAGGCAACTCTCAGCATGCAGTTTAAACCCAGTCCTCAGGTGTTATGTGAATATTAAACATAGGACTTCATATTGAAAATGGCACCCAACACACACCAGGGTTAAAGAAGCAAATAGGTTTAATAATAACAACAACAACAACAACCCACAGTGAGCCTGGTGTGTTATGCAAACTTGGTCTAGACGATCTAGCCTGGAACTGCTGTGATTATATGTATCATGTAAATAAATTGAGCAAATACTTTAAAAAACACTTTAAAGTTCTCCTTATTTATGAATGCATAGCAAGATATTAGCTAGAGATATGCAAATTATGAAAAGTGGATTATTTTTCCAAGTTTTGTATGTCACTTTTTTGTTTGACTTTGCCTTCATGTGCCTCAGTTCATGAAGGTCCAAGAACTTTCCTGCAGTCCAACATGCACAAGGAAGGATGACTGCCTTGGTATCTTATCAGCCAGAAATTGCTTCTCAATCCTATGGAAAGTAATAGTGCGGCCTATGTTCTTGCAAAGGTCTGAGTTCAGATCTCTATATGTTTTTATACTGCAGCCACTCTGGATCTGAGGGAGGTCACAAGTACTTTTCATGAAATATAAGTAGCATTAATAGTTTGCTTGTGTGTCTCTGTGCACACATGTATATGTGCAAAACCTTAATTCATTACAGTAGTTTTCAAAGGTTCTTCATTCAAAGAACTCTTCCCCATTAAGTTGTCTGCCAAAGAATGCTGAATGTCGCAGACGTTTCTGGAACACATGCTAGGGTGGGCAGTGAATTGTTGTTGCATTCAGTCATTGCGAGTTACAGCCCTCACTGATGCTCTGCGCCAGCTGCAAGTATGTTCTAAAACACACTCTTCCCCATTAATGCATAATGTAGTGAAAGATAGATAGGAATGGGCAAATAATTTTGCAGGGACTTCTGACTAGGATTACTGATCTTCTCATTGAGGAATCCTTGCTTTCTTGCTCAGTTCCCAGCAGACTGTAACAGCAGCTATATAAGAAGGCACTGGAATGCGAGCAGGTCAAAATGATGCCTGCCAGTGGAAGAACCATGAAACCTGTTTTTCTTCTTTCTATTCTCTGTGGTGTCCACATATGGGAAATCAGCAAGTTGAGTTAAGCAGAGGAAAGCCAGGTGACAAAAGGCAGCAACAGAGCCTCCATAAAACGTACTGCTAGGCCTTACCATCTAACACATAATCTATGACAAACATACAAATTGTGACCAAACAGTAACCAAAATAATTTAGGGACAAAGAGTATATTGCACAATATCAGATTGTTTTCAGGTTGTCCTATCTACACAAAAAACCTTTTAGGAATGATAGTACAGTATATAACTTTTTCCAATTTAAAAAAAAGAATAAAGTACCAAGTCTCCCCCCGTCACAAAAAAAACCCTAGTTTGAAGGTAACTGGTGTACAAAACCCAAGCATTTAGCAAAGTTTTCAGCATGTGCAATTAAACATTAATAAAATTAAAAGTTAAATTTTCTGGGAAGTATGGCTTTAAAAAAATCCAGTTTCTTGAAATTCAACTATACCTGATCTTCACGAGAAGACCCTTTCTTTGGCTGTTGTTTCCTCAGTTGTTCGTATTTCTTTTTTTCTTCAAGATATTCTGCAATGATGCTATTTGGGGCAGCTTCCTCCTCTGCATTTAGGAAGCAAAAAAAAAACAAAAACCAACTTTATAAAGCATATATTTATTAGTGCTGCCAATTTCACATTTGATACATGCATACATTATAAAATAAAGTTTACTAAGATCACTAATAGTACAATCCATTACTAGTTCACTCTGAAGTAAGGCTTATTTAGCTCATACTCCTAGGTAAACAAATACAGGACTGCAGTGTTAGTTAGACAAATCGAAATCCAAAAGATTGCCAAAAGATTGGTAAAGTATATCAGCTTTTCATATTAAACTAAAATAGGTATTATTTTAAGAAGGAGTGGGAATAGATTTGAGACCAGCCATTTATAATTGGACAGAATCATAGAATAGTAGAGTGTCAGAAGGCCATTGGGTCCAACCTCCAGCTCAGTGCATGACATAGAAACATAGAAACAGAGCGAGTCAGAAGGGGCCTCCCGGGCCATCTAGTCTGACCCCTGGCTCTAGCCGGCTTCGCTCATGACATGCCCACCATGTGCATGTCCAGCCTATCGTTGAACACCCTCACCGATGGGGCCTCAACGACCTCTCGTGGAAGCCCATTCCACACCCTCGGGGTCCTAACTGTTAGGAAGTGCTTCCTGGCATCCAAATGAAACCTGGGTTCCCTGAGCTTTGCTCCATTGGAGCGCGTCCTGCCTTCCTCTGCAGGGGAGAACAGGTCTCTACCCATCTCCATGTGACATCCCCTCACATACCTGTATGTCTCCAACATATCCCTTCTGAGTCTCCTCTTCTCCAGGCTGAAGAGACCCAGTTCCCTCAGTCTCATGACACCAAGTTAAACCATCCCTCTCAGATGGCTTTCCAGTTGCATCTTGATTGTCTCTAGCGTAGGAGAGCCCACAACCTCCCTATAGATAACTGGTTCCATTGTCATACTCCTCTTAACAGTCAGGAAGTTTTTTCCTGCTATCTAGCTGCAATCTGGCTTCCTGTAACTTGAGCCCATTATTCTGCCTTGATCTCAGAGATAACTGAGAAGAAATCCTGTTCTTCCTCGTGACAGCTTTTGAGGTACTTAGAGAGTGGTATCATATCTCTTCTTGAGGCTGAACATGCCCAGTTCTCTCAATCTCTCCTCATAGGACAGTGTTTCCAAACCTTGGATCATCCTTGCTGCCCTCTTCTGAACGCTTTCCAGCTTGTCTGCATCTTTCTTAAAATGTGGTGCCCAGAACTGGATACAGAACTCCAGATGAGGCCTAACCAGAGCTGAGGAAAGGGGACCTAGCATTTCATGGGATTTGGAAATGATACTTCTATTAATGCAGTCCCAAATAGAATATGTCCCTTTAGCAACCACATCATATTGTTGACTCATATTCAGCTTGTGATCTACAACAATTCCAAGACACTTTTCACTTGCAGTATTGTTGAGCCAAGTATTCCGCATCTTTTAAAAATGCTTTTTGTTTCTTCTTCCTAGGTGCCAAACTTGGCATTTGTCCCTACTGAATTTCATTTTGTTGTTTTCAGCCCAGTGCTCCAAACTATCAGGATCACCCTGACTCTTCTTTTTCTCTTCTAGGGTATTAGCTATCCCACCCAGTTTTGTCATCTGCCTTCCTGACTTTATTGCAGCTTGTGTTTGGCTGTTTTCTCTGGTGAATGTTTTGGTTGTTCTAGCCATTTTCATTAAACTGTATTTATTTATTTGTTTGTTTTAAAAGGAAACTGTTTTGAACACTTTGGGAATGCAGCCTAGACATTTCCATACAAACATCTGTGAACAGCATGATGTATATCAAGCAAAATGTTTCTTCCTACCTTCTCTCAGAATAACTGCAAACATCAAGATATACCAGTCAGGAATTAGGAATTGTAAAAAGAAAAAGAAGGCTAGTCACTAAGTTTCTCATACTACAAGCTACTCAGTTTATAATGGAAACTGATGAAATATTTATAGACCCTCAATACAGTGTTGAACCATGAGAATCTTATGGTTTATCAATATATTTTATGCCTGTAAAACTCATACAATACTGCTCATATGAGTGGTATGTAACCAGCATCACAGCAGAATAGTTAACTTGGTATATTGCTGTGTTCAAAACACTGGTGAAGCTCCCTAGTCAAAGGGAGTGAGTTGAGATATTATGCATTTCTCCTGCTCCACTGTTACACTGCTCACAAAATGAGATGACACTACATGCCAAGTAAGTGGCTGAAGAGAGCACAAGGGCCTTCTGCCAAAATCAGTTTGATCTTATCACAGAAATGCAGCTTATCAATGGAAAGGACAGGACAGGACAGGAAGCAATTCCCAGAATTCTGCAAACGTCTGTGTCTATAAATGCAACCTAAAGTCAGGCTAAAACACGTTTCCTTTGAGAAACCTAGAACCCAATAGTGAAGCTGAGTTTCTGTTCAACCCAGCTGATTTTTCCTGGTTTGGAACATTCAAACATGATTTATTCAACAAGTTTTTTATGCTATTCACAGTTCATGAGTTTTCTGGATAGTTTACAACATAAAAACACAGTTAAAATGCAATACATTTTAAAAGAACAGCACAGGCAGCAGAAGCCGTATACAGGGGCCCTTCCTACATAATCCATCATCTCCTCATAGTGCCTGATAAATATGAGATGTTAACTAAGTACAATAATAACAGAAATAATAAATCCATTAAAATAAACATTATAAAATTATAATAAAGTAAAATAATAATTAATACAAGCAAAATAATAGTATTATTAGTGTTACTAATAGTAATAATAGTAACAATTATAGCCACAGCCTATCTACAATCATAGAACTGTAGCTATAAGTGTAACCTAAACTGGAACTGGGTCCATAAAAATATTTGATTAAAATGGATAAATCAATAGTACATTATTAACAGTTAAAATATATGGAAAAGAAAAAGGTCTTAGCCTGATGCCAAAAAATATACAATGCAAAGTGCGCCTCTCTGAAGAGGGGATTCCAGAGTCAGGGCGTCACAGTGGAATTGAATGCATAGGGTAGGAGGGATGGGGCTGCACATGGCAGTCCATAACTTCCCTTTGTTGAGTGTGGGGGTCTATTTGCATGGATGTGACTAAATACTTCTATATCTCTGGGAACCTTGCTTTATCTGGATTCTTGATCCCACAAAACCTTCTGTAGACTCTCCTGTTCTACTTCTATGGGTGAACTAAGAGGGTTTAGCCAGCATGTGTGAAAACACTGGTATCAGGGCTGAGGTGCATGGTCCTATCCCTTGTACTTGTGTTAAGTCTATCTACTCTGTTCAAAATAGTGCTGATATGAATGTATGCAATTGTTTATGTGTGCTAACTTGCATAACCTATCTGAAAGCTATACATTAGGCATTGTCATAAATGCAATTTCAAATTTTTAGAAGTGTACATTTCTCAAAGACATACTGCTGTCTGCCAACCCTAGCTTAGATCCTCAGTCCTCAGATTTGAACCTCACTTCATTTTGGCCAACAAAGTGTGGTCATCCTTGCTATAACCACTTTCTTCTGCCCTGCCTTTTCAGAATCCAACTTGGTTACTCAACTTACTGGAGAATAAGTCAGTTTGATTAGTTATGCTGCCTGATATTAATAAAATAAATTTAATATTTGAATTATTCCTATAATCCTTGGAAAGTTCCAGGCTTATAAAAAGTACATAGGAAGTATGCAAAGGCAATTGTTTGGACAGCTAAAACAATATCTGAAGGAGGATGGAACGTATGAAAGGACTTTTATCAAGTTTCCTGATCACTCAACATAGAAACATAGGAAAGAAATTCAGATGTAATAAAGTAATATAGCACATTCACCAAAAGTGATAAGTAACTGAGAAGAATTAATCTTTAAATCATATGGTTCAGTACATAAGGACCGGCATAAGATCAAGAGATTACAAGAACTACTGGTGAGAAGATAACAAATAAATGTTTCTTTTATCTGCAAGACTGGATTCAGGTTTCCAGCTCTCTGCAATACTTAGTCTTAAACCACTTCACTCTTTTATTTAAGCCCCAAGACTAGCCTTATAGGTTGTTGAATGATGTTGCCTTCAGGCATTGCCTTCCCAATTGTTAAACTGGCTGCTGCTCTTAAGTTTAATTGGAACTACTGATGAGTTTCTTGTTTTGTCCTGTCTTTTTGGCTGAGGAAACCACAAATCACTGCAACAAGGAAAAACACTTTAAAATTTCTAAAACTGTAAACAGATTTCATCTTGCTAATAAGTGGGGTGGAGAGAAGCAGTGAAAAGGTTTACAGTAGGAAACCAATACATCATTTAAGTAACTATGGGGAGTCATCCATTATTCATTTTGGGGGGAATATGAATGATAAAAAAGAGGTCAGAGATAAAGCTTTGAAGCTTTGAGTCAACACTGATGTTAGATTTTTGAGGTTCCTGGAGATGCCAGTTCCCTGGTTCCTGGAGATGCCACTTTTTGGCTGTGGTAAAAATAGTATGTGACTTGCCCAGGAATAATATTTCAACTTCAACAATTATGGAATGGTTTTGTCAAGATTTTGAAGATGGAGGAACTGACTAATAAAGTGAGTTGACATAATAGAATAACCTGCCTTAGAAGATTAAGGAGATACATGGGCATTTTATATTGAAATTTGCAGTCCCAGTTCAGGTTGAGTGGATCTGTATTTACATAAGTCAGGATTTGGATATCCTGGTATTTAAGAAGTCCTTTAAATTATTTTCCCAATTCAGATGTCATTGGAAACTGTGGTATAAGAAACCAAGAACGCTTCACTGAAGACAGATGTCCAAAATGAAGGGGCAGGCAAAGTGTGGATGTGCTAGCACACTTCTTCCTATTGTAATAAACTATAGCTCACTGGAAACATTTTATACACATGCAACATTGGGAAGATATTTGTTACTTGCTTTTGTGGCCTGCATCTTTGAAAATGTGTAGAGAAAAGAATGCTATAATACTGCTCAATTTTACTGCTTTATTTACCTTTTCAAATAAATCATTTGGGGAAGAAAGACTGAATT